TTATTTATATTATTTACATGCATTTTGGTCATGTAATTTGCTATTCATCAGTTGTTGAAGTTCTCCACTGTCACGGAAGAGACCGTCTTTGTGTAACCTGTAAACACAGATTGTTCTCTAGTCTATACAGTGGAGTGTCGTAGCACTCATGCTAATAACCTCCCCCTCCCGTCGTCACTGGCAATTTGGTTGGTAATTATGTAAAGTGCTGCTGACTTTCATTTCCAGCAAGCCCCTTTGGAAACGCACATCTCCTCATTACCATTCAAAATGAGCTTTGGAGCGGTTGATATCTCCCCAAAACATCCAGCTGTGCTGTGCAATATTTGTGTGTGCGTGTGTTTTAGTAGCACACACACACACACACTTCGAAATGGTGTGGAAGACACATACTGTGGATAGTGTCTGCTCAGTTTGCTTTGAGAAAGGCTAGTAGTTGAATACAGGGGGTTAATACGCTCTTCATTAATGCTTAAGAGCTCCCTCGACACTCAGCAGGTGTGAAACAGTGTCAGCAGGGAAGCTAGTTTTCTAATATATGATGAATTGATTGTTATATTTGTGAATTAATGCATGCTAATAGAGTTGCTTGAACGCAACCCTGTTGTTCTCAGAGTGCATCGACATGAACAAAGACAAATGAATTGTATGCAAAGGATACTGATTTTGCATTATCTGTAAATAAAAAAGCATTTCACCATTTAACGTTTCAGAACGAACTTAATAAAAAGATCTTTTGTTGTTACAAAAATTGTGCACTTTCTTCCGCGCAACAAAAGAAAACAAGTGGGGTTCAAAACATTACTGACATCTTCCTAAATATTTTCAATCCGTAGAGGAAAGTAAGTCATAAAGGTGTGGATGTGAGAATTAGTAAATGACAGAATTTCACTTTCTTTGGGTGAACTGTCCCTTTAAATTATATTTTACCAGAAACATTTCTGTAACAGCTTATAACTCCTTTGCATACAATTCATTTGTCTTTGTTCTTTGGCACAGTGGTTCATGTAGGTTGTCTACAAACCGGAAGGTTGTTGGTTCAAATTCCCGGTTCCACCTGACCAAGTGTCGAGGTGTCCATGAGCAAGACACCTAACCCCGGCTGCTCCCGACGAGCTGGATGGCGCCTTGCATGGCTGACACCGCCGTCGGTGTATGAATGAGTGAGTGAATGGGTGAATGTGAGGTAATATGTAAAGCGCTTTGGTGGCCATTGGGTCTGTGAAAGCGCTATATAAATGCAGTCCATTTACCATAACTGCAAAATAATGAACAATTTGAGCCTAAAGTAATGATGTTTTAAATTTTTTAACTCTCCTTGTTGCGCCGCCAGCCTGACGGATTTGTTTAACGTGTCCTATCACATATTACATGACGGCTGTACATGCGTGTAATGCACATTATTTTCCGCACAATGACTCATGCGTTAAATGCAGACTCCTCCATCATTACACAAAGGCAGTCAGCTCCTCTCTCAGCCAAAGGCCCTTTCTTCTTTCTTCACCTCTAAAACTCCAGGCAGGTATTTCACGGCTGGTTGCCCTTTTAAATCCATTTCCCCTGAATCTCCTCTCAGCTCTGTGCTGTGGCGTTTTGTCCGGTTATGTGAATGGAAATGGGAGACTTTGTTAGAAACGTTCCTTGTGTGTGTGAGGAGCGCCTCTGTGGTCAGATAAGGAACTGATAGATAGAGCAGACGGCACAAAAACAAACTGGATTGTGGATTAGAGGTGACATTAAGAGATCTTTAACATGTTATCAGTAGTTTTTATACTGTAGGAAGGAAGGAATATGAAGAAAAGAGGGCATTATGCAGTATATTTATTACACTACAGCACTAGTAAATGTAGATTGGTGGGGTTGGTGTGTGTCTGTGTATGTGTGTGTTAAGGTGGTTGAAAGGATTTGTACGGATTACAAGGATAAGAATCAAGGCATGAGAATAAAACTAATGTTTACTCATGTCACTAAAATAATTTATGCATACGTAAGAGAATTTACAAAAATATATTTTATAATATGTTGTTTCATTCAAATAAATAAATAATAAACAAGAAATATAGCTGCAAATCATTGGACCAGTGTGCATTGCTTATCACGGAGCGCCAGGCAGAGGATACATATTTAACTTGATAGCAAGGAGTGCTTCCAGGGTGACAATGCACCATAGACAGTAAAAGAAATGGACACAGCGACCCCGTTGATTTCAACGGAGAGAGTTGAAGCCCAACATGGGCACTCACTTCCTGATAGCCAAGCGCACTGCGCAGGCTCAAACTGAGCTTGACGACGTAGTTGTCACGTGAGCAACCGTTCTGACCTTCTAGTAGATGTGCCGAGACAAATCTGAATTGAAATCTGAAACAAATCTGTTGTTGAAATATTTTGTCCCGTTGCTTTTATGAACTCTCTATCTATGGGCTTCTTCCTTGACTTTATGCCTCCATGTCCACCCGATTGCCTCATAGACAGTACGATTGCCTACGAGCTACTACTTCAGTCTATACGGTAATTTCTCTACTGTGCGACAGAGCGTCCCGTGGTTATGACGCAATCGTTAGCCTATTTTTACAAGAATGGCTTCTACGGGACCATAACGTAAGATACAAAGTAATGGAGCATTTTATACATTGTCGTGTTTCTTTAGAAATAAATAATGGACAAATGGAGTCTTTGGACGCCTCAGATGTAAAGTTATTCGCTGTCAAAGTGACGCCAAAATGAATGGGAGTCAATGGGATGCTAACAGCAGGTGATAGCCAGCTACAATGGCGGCCCCCGGAGGCAGCTTCAACTTCCGGCTGATGGATTACCCCCTTGCAATGCACTCACGCAAGCATTAGTCTGCAGATTAGCCCATTAGAATGTGAAGCCAACGTTAGCTACCGCTAATGCTCACTGCTAGCCTGATTAGCAGAAGAGCCACATTAACAAGAATGACAAATGTTTAGCATGCTAAGCTAACATCGCATAAGACAACAAACGCAAACCTGGTTGATTTCAGAAAGGTGTTTCTCTGTAATGATAGCAAATATCAAAAATCTGTTTGGTAATTTGGATACAATTGGACAACATTTGTAGGAGTAGCAGCAACAAGGCTGTTCGTCATATATTTTAAAATGATGAACAAGCAAAATTATGTGAAAACCAAAAAAGCGATATTGTTGGAATTTCCTCATAAACCAAAGAATGCAACAACACCAACAAAATAATGTCAAAATGCTGGTCTTGGCGAGTATCATGCAAGTACCATGCAATAATGATACATTATAAATTAATACAATGAGGTTATGTATAAATACAAAATAAATACTTAATAAAAAATAGATAGCCTACTTAAATATTTTTTTTACTTTTACTTTACTCTTTTACTAACTCTTTGAAACTTCTTAAAACAAACTGTCTCAAAACATATCAAATAAATTATTTGCTAAAAAAATGACAACTGAGAAATTAAAAACATAATAAGAGCAGGGGTTCAACAATGACAATTATTGTTGAAAACTGTAAAAATATTATTATTTCTCAACTGTCTCAATACAGTGTAACTGTCCACAAAATCTTTTCTCTATTATTATTATTGTAACAGACTTTGTTAGATTGTACATGACAGAATCCAACAAAGTCTGGTACTATAACACCGGTAATGATGTACTGGCGCTCGTTGTATCTGTCTGTGTATGCAATGTATTTTTCCCCTCTGGGCTTGCCGTAGATAGGAATGGTTCAATGCTGCTCAAAACATACCGTAAATAATCATGCAAACATATTTTTATCTCGTTTTGTCTTCGTTCTATTTTCGGTACCAGAGGGAAACTTTTTTGTGACATAGCTTAACATTACCGCGAGTCCGCGACTATGCGCAGTTGCGCACGAATTGTCTATGCACGCGCGAGTTGTCTAGATTATGTTCATGACTAAACGCTGGCAGACACAGCAGCAGTTGTAGGGAGGTATATTGATCATGAAATCTGAATTTTCTTGTCTTTAATTATTAATTCATTAATTCATATTAATTCATTCATTTATGTCACTTGTTTAAGTCATCTAAAAAAATATTTTTCGATTTTTCGACTCGATTGGGGGGCCCCCTGGTGGCCAAGGGGCCCCAAGCAGCCACTTAGTTCGCTTATGCCTCGGGCCGGCCCTGCAGTGATGTTTTAAGTTAACTTAAACAGTTGAAAAAGAAACACATGTGTAACAGTGTAATGGATCCGCGTGTCAGGTCTTAAAGTGACAGCAGCCTAATATACCTACCACCAAATTATGAGTTCATATTTAAAAAAAAATCTAAATGCCATTTTTTCCCCATGGTATCGATGCCAAAAATAAAAGCAATGTAATCTGAAAAGTTTCATAACCTGTAGGTGGCGCTGTCACCAGAATAGCCAGGGTAAATAAAAAAATATATATTCAGCACTTTAATAATTTATTTTAAAAGAGTAATTTATGGTATTATTTTCATTAATTTATTTTTTTCATGACAATTTTCCACCCACTTTTGATCCTTAAAATGAATATATATATATATATATATATATACTGTGTATATATATATATATACTGTATACATATATATATATATATATATATATATATATATGTTATATGACTTTAACAATCTATTGGTGAAATTTACTCTGGCACATTTTCATTACAAACACAATTACAAACACTTTTTCGAATGGGCACTAAATGTGCCGCCCTTTATAAATTATATCACTTGTTACAAAAATGTGTGGCCTTTTCACACAATTTCTGATATGATCAAATAAAACGAAACAGATTCATAAGCATGTTTTCATATCAAAACTTTTGTATTTCAAGTTGGTGTGAACAACAAATCATTAAAGTTTGATATTTTGAACTCAAGTGTGAAAGACTTCATAGAAACACATTGTTTTGTTTAAAACACTGAACACATTTGAATTGACTTGGTGTGAATAAAGTCCAGTTAAAGTACACTTTATTTATTGTGTGTGTGTCTGTTTTCTCCACAGAGGCGTCTATCCTAAGCTACGATGGCAGTATGTATATGAAGGTGGTGATGCCGACGGTAATACACACAGAAGCAGAGGACGTGTCCCTGCGGTTCATGTCCCAGCGTGCCTTTGGCCTGTTGATGGCTGCCACATCACGTGAGTCTGCAGACACACTGCGACTAGAGCTGGACAGCGGCCGTGTCAGACTCACCGTCAATTTAGGTATTGTATTCTGCTATATTTGACATTCTCTCTCTCTACCATTCTCTCTTCCTCGATCGTCCGTTATTTATTATATTTGCAAGTTACTGGATGTTATCATCTCTCTTACACTACTACTAAACTGTTGTTGTTTTGTTGATCTGCATGGATTGCTCCAGTTTGTTTTTCGTTCTCTTGCTTTGTCTGCTGGTGATGTGGACCGACGAGCTCTCGCATCACTGTCTCACGTAACCTCTGACCTCATGGGCGAAGCAACACATCTGCGCCAGTCATTCTCATACACATGCTCATCGATTTACTCACATTGGAGAAACAATGATTTAAAAATCGGAGTAATTCTATTATTTAAAATCTTATGAAATGAAAGCGGCATTTATATTAGGGCTGGGCGATATAGCTATATCTATCTATCTATCTATCTATCTATCTATCTATCTATCTATCTATCTATCTATCTATCTATCTATCTATCTATCTATCTATCTATCTATCTATCTATCTATCTATCTATCTATCTATCTATCTATCTGTCTGTCTGTCTGTCTATGTGTCTGTCTGTCTGTCTGTCTGTCTGTCTGTCTGTCTGTCTGTCTATCTATATATCTAAATATCTATTTGTCTGTCTATCTGTCTGTATTCTGTCTGTCTGTCTATCTATCTATATGTCTGTCTGTCTATCTATCTGTCTGTCTGTCTGTCTGTCTATCTGTCTGTCTATCTATCTGTCTCTGTCTGACTGTCTATCTATCTATCTATATGTCTGTCTCTGTCTATTTGTCTATCTAGCTGTCTGTCTGTCTGTCTATCTATATATATATCTAAATATCTATTTGTCTGTCTATCTGTCTGTATTCTGTCTGTCTGTCTATCTATCTATATGTCTATCTATCTATCTATCTATCTATCTATCTATCTATCTATCTATCTGTCTGTCTGTCTGTCTGTCTGTCTGTCTGTCTGTCTGTCTGTCTGTCTGTCTGTCTGTCTGTCTGTCTGTCTGTCTATCTATCTGTCTGTCTCTGTCTGACTGTCTATCTATCTATCTATCTATATGTCTGTCTATCTATCTGTGTCTGTCTGTCTATCTGTGTCTGTCTATCTCTGTCTGTCTGTCTGTCTGTCTGTCTGTCTGTCTGTCTGTCTGTCTATCTGTGTCTGTCTATCTCTGTCTGTCTGTCTGTCTGTCTTTTTTTGGTGAAAAAAGTTTGTGAATTTTTTTTTATCTTTGAAAAAAAAAATCAAGTTGTTTTTCATGTTTCATGTTGTTTTTACAAAAGGAAAAAAAGAAAGAATTGTAATCACTTTAATTTAAAGACTGCAATATGACAATACGTAGTAATACACAAGAAAATATACCTATATGCATTGGTGTCAAATGATAAACATAAAAGATTTATCAAAAAGTTCTTTGTAAACTGTTTGACACAAGGAGTGGGTGTGAAACTGGCCTACTGGCACAGACAAGAAACTAAATGGCCAAAAAAAAACAACAACAAAAAACATGCTAATGTCATAGTGATATACACATATATGCATACATATAAAATATATCACCCAGCCCTACATGATATGCTGTGGACAGGACTGTCTCTTGTGATATTTCAGTATTTGTGTCTGCTGTTTTTTCTTATGGTAAGGTGGTTTTAACATCTGTACAACAATTTTTGTCACGTTATCAGGAAAATATGTATCCATCCCCATCCCTCGCTCTTACCGGCATTTATCATGCCTTGTTTAAAGATGGTACTCACCCCTTCAACGGCCTTTAGCCTGCGGCCCTGTAAGCAAACAGCCCGAGACCAGAGCACCCAGCACACCTGCAGCTCGTGGCCACAACACACACACACACACACACACACAGACACAGTCATTTCTACTAACATCCACCCATATGCACACCATGTCCAGTCCATATCTTAAATATATTGCAACATCAAAATTAAAAGTAATTTCAATCAATTCAATAGTCAATTCAATTAGTTTCAGTGCTAAAATTTGTCATTTTCCATTCATACACTTAGTGTAAATAACAACCAGAGCATTCAGTATCCATTGCACTTGTTCAGTATATTGTCTTAATTGAGATGACTGTCTGTTTTTTTTTTATATATATATATATATATGAAGAACATGCTACAAGTGTGTGTGGTGCTGGTGCTTTTTGGACCGAGGCTGTTTGCTCCCACTTTTCTGTTGCGGTTGACGGCACATGACAAAAATGGCCATATGGATTCCAGCCTGGATAACAGGTCCAATTATCATAAAAATCTGCAGTTCTCTGTATAATTCTTCTTACAGTTGGTGACCAGTAATTTGGAAGATAATTAACAAAGAAAGACAAAGAATACCCGGGTTGATGAATCCATTTGGCTTAAAGCAGGCAGCCATTTTAAATGGATTATTACTATATACATTCAAATCTGGCTAGTCTGGATGCTCAAAATGAGAGACAAAAAGAAAAATATTTAGAGACAGACAAAATGTTTTGAATTTTGTAGAAATCTTCCTTAAGAATGGTTTACTTATAATTGTCTCTACATGTTAAGCTACATGTTGATAATAACACAAATATACACATTTAACATGGATACCTTGGATCAAATTGCCAAAACGAGTTCTATCAGACAATATTGTCCAGCATGCTCAAGCATCTGTTGGAAAAGAGTCCCGAATGGCCGCCGCTTCATGTGCTCGTCCCCAGAAGGTGGTGTTTCTGTTGTTGGATGTCTGCAGCTGTATCCTTGAAGGACGCGATTTCATCTGTCACTTGTTCTTCCCCATCTAGACTGTGGCAGGATAAACTGTAACACCAGTAAGTCTTTATTCAGTTTGTTCTACTCATTTCTTAACCTGTTGGATTTTTTTGAGATGAATGCTGTAAGAAACTCAGTCCTTAGCTAATGAAATGATGTGTTGTTTATTTCCCATATACAGTCAAAAGCAAATGTTTTAAACAGTGTTGCTAACCTACAATACCAGTTAAAAGTTTGGACTCAATCGTATGCATTCTTTATTATAATCTGGCCATATTTTAGATTAGTTGTAAAGTCATCAAAGCTATGATATAACACAAATGGAAGTCTGGCGTGTAAGTGTTAAATAAATCCAAATCTGAAAATGTCTTATTTGAATTTCTCCAAAGTTAACACTCTTTGCCCAGAATAACTAGCTTCATGAGGTGTAACTTTCTTGAAATGAAATGTAAAATTTGAGTTTTAGTCTCTTAACCTCCCTATCCACTATATAGTGCACTACATCAGGTGTCGAACATTTAGTAGTGGTGTCCGAATTCTGAGTGAACAACTTTATTGCCTACGTTTATACCCATAATGCACTCTAATTTCCCACTGTCTGATACCCATAATGCACTCTGATTTCCCACTTGTTTATACCCATAATGCACTCTGATGTCCCACTCGCTGAAGCACTATTTCCCAAAATCAAACGTGGAGAGAGAGCGGAAGCGAGCGAGTTTGAACGAGAGATAACATTTATTCTACACTGGTTCTAGTTTTTAGCTTTTTTATTAATGATCACTTGATTAAAACACATTTAAATATAGAGCGACAATATTATATAGATGAATTTTTAAAATTAAATGAAAATTTTGTTTTATATGATTTATTATTATTAAAAGTTTAATGCGTTTGACTAACAGTAATAAAAACATAACATTATGTACACGTGTTAATGTGTGTTTATTATTGTTTGCAGATTTTAATAGTATTTAATGATTATGAACACAAATTAAGCATGACAAACGGCCTAAGCCTTTAAATCAAAGGGTTTTTAAGTATATGAGAAAGCTAAATTAATAAAGTCCTAACTTTTGATTGGTACTGTACATCCTTGTCCATGTTTTATATGCCGTTAAAATCTTAATATTGAAGCTTTTTTTTTAATAATGCCGTTTAAAAAAAAAAAATTTGTAATGCTCTTCTGGAAAAATATAACTGCTCTTACTCATCTAAAAGTCTCCCGGTCCTCATCTCATTCTTTAGCAGAGATTTGTGAGGTTGTTCAACAACACTTTATGAACACTTAATTTTTTTTACCTCAATTTATTTATTTATTTTTCCTGCTGTGACAGTGGAGCACATATGTCTGGTCTCAGAAGTCAAATCCCATTCATTTTCTCCAGAAATGAATTGATTTTAATTAAATTAATACATACGCTCTGAGGTTTTGTAAAAGGTTGTTTTGATTTTATCTTCAATAACAGCTGTGAAGCATTGCAAAATACATAATCAAGTTACTATTTATACGCCCTTAATCAAACATTTATTGTCAATAAAAGTGATTATATTTAAGTATACTTACATTGGTAACACTACAATAAGGTTTCATTAGTTAACATTATTACACGGCTCTGTGGAATACTTGATTCTGATTGGTCAATAGCGCCATCCAGCGGTAAATTATTCCCAAATAACAACCGCTCAAAACAGATAACGCAGGCTCATCCGGGTCACTGAAGTCAGCAGTGCTATACGCCTGCTAGGAATGTTTTTTCTTCGTAGAAGTTTTGCGTTTGGTAAGCTAGTAAAATAATAAAACTCAGTCGATTTAATATTTTGTGTACAGTTATTTAATTATGCCATCCAGTATCGTGGACTCGCTCTCTCTTGTTTCATACAAACGCAGATTCTGCCATTTCGTGACTATTGTTTTGTACACAGTTGGATTATGAGATACGAACAACCGGCTGGATGTACAATTATCTCTTACACTAGTTAACATGAACTGCACTACTGCAACATTTAGTAATCTCTGTTGATGTTAATTTCAATATTTACTAATACATTATCAAATTCATAAGTTGTATTTGTTAACATTAGTTAATGCACTGTTAACTAACATGAACAAACAATGAACAACTGTATTTATAGTAACTAACATTAACAAAGATACAGTAACAAATGTATTGCTCATGATTAGTTCATGTTAGTTAATACATTAACTAATGTTAAAGCTATGGAATACGATTTTGAAAATCGGTCAAGAAAGCCTGAATTTTTTAAAAACTCATCCCGCCCCTCCACACACACCCCCCTCCCCTCTGTGCTACCTGATCCCTCCCACCGGGAAACGAACTGAACTACGTCACTCAGGCCCCGTTTACACGAGAACGATTCCGGGTGAAAACGTAAAAAATATTTTATCGGATGTGCCTTTCGTTTACACGGCACCGGCGTTTTGGGGGCTTAAAAACGCAAAAAAGTGAAACCACCCTCCGGAGTGGAAATCTTAAAAACGCTCCACCGTCGCGTTCCCGTCTAAACGGTAAAAACGCAAATCTGCTCATGGTGGCTCTCGTCGCGTACGCGTTTACGTCACATGCATGCGCCAGTACAGGAAAATAACAACCAACATGTCAGATTATTTCCATACTTCGGACCTTCAAGTTGCCCTAGCAGCTCTGAAAAACATACAAGAGTCTTTTCTGCAGTTGTACAAAATATTCTAAGATATTGGTGTTGTTGTGTGGCAGTGCTTCACATTGCCACCTAGCCGCCTGGAGTGCATACTACATCGAATTTCACACACTTTTGCGTCACCATATGCACGCGGATTTCCCACCCATTACGCTCGTCTAAACGCAGAATAAAAAGTGATAACACAACGCCACTTTTGCGTTTTCTCTTCAGATCGTTTCCGTGTAAACATAGCCTCAGTCAAGCTGTGATCACCGGTAGTAAACATCGGAACTGAGATGTAATGTCAGTTCATGTAATGTTCAATCTAATGACCTCGCTAATGACACATCATATGTAAAATTGCCTTTAGACACTTGAACTTAGTTCCTTCATCAACAATTCAATGTAACGTTTGAGTTCACGTCAACGCAAGATTAGCAACACATGAAATGTTCTAAACTCCCCACCACCATTAGTATAATCCTACTAGTATTGCTAAGGTTTTCAGTAATTGTTATTGCAGCACACAGCGCATCTTGTTCAAATTTCGATCGGCTCGAACAGAAACCCGCTAGGCCTACTGAAATATATTCAAGGACTTCAAGAAATATAATTACTTTGACCCGTGATAGGCGATGCTAAACGGCTAACATTCCAATGCCGACCGACAGCATGAGCAAGTTGTCAAACTGATAAAAAGCTATTTATGTAACACGTCACACCATAAAAGTATAAATAAATGTTTACCTGCTCAACAAAAAGTCAGCCGTGTCAGCGTCGGTCTTCAGTCCCAGATCTCCCTGAAGCTTCCTCCAATGGTCAATGGTGGAGGGTCCATATATTTATCCTACTCAAAGTTCGGCGTTCTTTATATTTTTTTTTTAATCTCTGCTCGTTCCTCTAATGACTTTCTCTTTCGTCCTAACTTTACTGTAGGGACAAGCAGGGGACGCTTGCTGCTGTCTTTTTTTTTTTTATCCATAGCTGATATGCTACTTAGCTAGCTACCATAGACTGTCAGCTGCTTACGCGCGCAATTTCATGACGCAGGAGGGGGGCGGGTGCGGTGGAGACGCGAGCGCCAGGCGGAGTTTCAAGTGGAGCTGGTGATTGGATGAGAGCAGTTGACCAATGTAAGCTGTCCGGCCGGACAGCTTACATTGGTCAACTTCTCTGCGGCTGTACAGCCAATAGAGTGAATGGATTTTTTTTCATTCTTTTTTCTATTCCTATTGTTAGGATTGTACTATATAACCATAACCAGCATCTAAACGAGGATATTAATAATGAACAATCTTTGAAATCGTATACCCTAGCTTTAACTAATGCACCTTATTGTAAAGTGTTACCACATTTTTATTAATTATTATTATTTATTTATTATGTATTTATTTATTTATTTTGCTCTAATCAAATGTTGTAACATTATTCAGGTTTTAAAGCTTTTTTCTTGGTTCATGACAGTACACGCAATATTTATTTTTAAATCTATAGAGAACATGTGAAAAATACGTCTAGAATCAAGGCAGCGACACATCTGCAGTCACTGTAACACTCCACTGAGTAACAGTTCGATAGTGTGTGAATCGAAATAGTCCTCAAGGGTGCGCCTGTGGCCGCAGAGCACCACATCTTCCATTAAGTCGCATTCAAATCTCAGGAGGTCTCATTGAAGACATTTGTACACTATTAACTATAATTGTTATGGGGGGAAAGACTTGTGTGTCTCTATAAATGACGGAGAGAAAAACAAATTTATTGTTACATTAAAGTAATTTACTGTAAAGTATTCTGAATGTGGTGTCATTTAATTACCGTCATTGCTCAAGTGTTCACCAACAACCTTTAACTAACTTTAACTAACTATAAAAACTTGTGTAGATGTGTATAAACACACAGGGCAGGTCATTTAGAGAGTCGTCTTTGTAGAGCTTGTTTCAATTAAAGGTTGTTGTTTATTAAGCATATTCTCCCATTAAAAGTACATTGGCTGTAAAGAAAGTGCAATACAGTGCTGATTAACCATTTTAATTCTACAGTGCATTTAGAGGGGCATTTTGCCTCATGCTCGAAAAACTCAATATATATCCGAGCAGCTTATGTTAATGTTACCAAATAAATCTGTACAACAATCAGTGCTTTGGACTAATTCTACTCATTCTTTATTGGTATATTTGTATGAGTGCACTTTAAAAAAAATAATGCCTACGACTATGTTTGGAGTGGATTAGCATATAGCACATATAGGGCAAATAGCACCACAGATTACATACTAGTATACTAAAAGGGATAGTTCACCCAAAAATGAAAAGTACCCCCTAATTTACTCACCCTCAAGCCATCCTAGGTGTATATGACTTTCTTCTTTCAGCCAAACACAATCGGAGTTATCCTGGCTCTTCCAAGCTTTATAATGGCAGTGAATGGTACCATTATTTTAAAGCCCAAAAAAATCCATCCATTATAAAAGTAATCCATACGACTGCAAGGGGGTTAATAAAGGCCTTCTGAAGCGAAGCCATGCATTTTTGTAAATACAATATTCATAATTATAACTTTATAAACTGTAATTATAATCTTAGGTGAGAGTAATCAAGTCTTGCGGTTCAAACAAATAATGCTGGGAAACAAACTCAAGCGTATTTATATCCAATCCAGTGATTATAGTTTATAAAGTTATAAATGTGGATATTTGTCTTGCAAAAATGCATCGCTGCGCTTCAGAAGGCCTTTATTAACCCCCTGAAGTCGTATGGATTACTCTTATGATGGATGGATGCACTTTTTTGGGCTTAATTTTTTTTACCATTCACTGCCATTATAAAGCTTGGAAGAGCCAGGATATTTTTTAATATAACTCCGATTGTGTTTGGCTTACTTGGGGCTGAGTAAATTATAGCATAATAAAAGAAAATTGGGTGAACTAACCCTTTAACATTTCTGCAGAATGGATATGCTGTTCAACACATACCTCAGCCATACTTTGGTTTTGTTTCATGTTTTGGCCTTTTTCTGAGTAACAGCAGTTTAAATAGTTGATTTGATACTATCACTGAATGTGACTTTCTCAATGTACCTCAATTCAAATATTTTTGTGGTCTATCATCTTTATGACAGAAGTCTGAAAATGCATACCAAAAGATTTTTTTTCCTCACATACGAGTGTGTGACCTTTATGGAATGATTTATTAAAATGGTGAGAAGCCAGACATGTGATTTACAATGCTAGTGTGTGTAAACACTAACTGACACACATCATTCTCAGGTAAAGGACCAGAGACATTGTACGCTGGCCAGAAAGTGAACGACAATGATTGGCACTCGGTCAGAGTGATGCGGCGTGGTAAAAACTTCAAACTCATGGTGGATGATGATGTGGCAGAAGGTACGAAGGCAGTATAAACTCAACAGACCTTAAGCATCTGCCCCCTATATAATGCATTAGTCCAACACTTACTAATCGCTTCACCAAGACCTCCTACTCTTCTTTCACAGGTCAGATGAATGGTGACCACACTCGGCTGGAGTTCAGTAATATTGAGACCGGGATTCTGACAGAACGGCGCTTTGCCTCCACGGCTCCATCCAACTTCATTGGTCACCTGCAAGGCCTGAAGTTCAACGGCCTTTTCTACATCGACATGTGCAAGAACGGCGACATCGAATTCTGTGAGCTGAATGCTCGTTTCGGCATGCGCTCCATCGTGGCCGATCCTGTTACCTTCAAGACCAAAGGAAGCTATCTGGGTCTTGCTACGCTCCAGGCATATAGCACCATGCACCTGTTCTTTCAGTTCAAAACCACCTCGGGTGACGGATTCATCCTCTTCAACAGTGGAGACGGGAATGATTTTATTGCCGTGGAGCTTGTCAAAGGGTGAGTGGAAGAAAAGGGTTCAAAGTACCAGTTTCCAGGTTTTACCAAATGGCTATTTTGTTGAGGTTGAAAGGCAAGGCTGGGAATCGATCCCATGAAGAATCCATCCTGAGGAGTTGGGAGGAACTCAGGCCGTGACGTGGCTAAAAGTGTGTTCATTTTTTAGAATCCAGGGGCCTTATTCACAAAACATCTTAAAGGACAAGTTCGGTATTTTACACTTAAAGCCCTGTTTTATGATCGTTTCTGCTGAAATAGAACGATTAAAGGGATACTCCACTTTTTTTGGAAATAGGCTTATTTTACAACTCCCCCAGAGTTAAACTGTTGAGTTTTACCGTTTTTGAATCCATTCAGCCGATCTCCGGTTCTGGCGGTACCACTTTTAGCATAGTTTAGCATACTTTATTGAAGTGGACAAGACCATTAGCATTTCAAAAAAAAAAATGACCAAAGAGTTTCGATATTTTTCCTATTTAAAACTTGACTCTTCTGTAGTTACATCGTGCACTAAGACTGACGGAAAATGTAAAGTTGCGATTTTCTAGGCTGATATGGCTAGGAACTATACTCTCATTCCTGCGTAATAATCAAGAAACTTTACTGCCGTACCATGAGAGCAGCAGGCGTAATAATATGCAGCGCCTGAAAATAGTTCCGTTGTATTGACGGAAGGTAGCCTATTTTCAGGCGCTGCGGTAACCTATTTTCAGGCGCAGGCGTTTCAAAAACGGTAAAACTCAACAGTTTAACTCTGGGGGAGTTGTAAAATGAGCCTATTTCCAAAAAAAGTGGAGTATCCCTTTAAGATTAAAATTTGGACACATGCTGCTGGCCCGAGAATTTTCGGTTTCTGTGGTTGCACCCCTCCCCCACCTCCACAATGGTTGCATAGGTGCACTGGAACAATCTTTCATAAAACGCATTCAACTTTAGTTTACAAAGACGTGAAACTCACCGAGTGGTCAGGGGTGTTCACTGATATGCTCACACAAAAATCGCTGCAAAAGATGCTTTCCAACAGGTTTTATCGTAGTTTTTGTCCAACTCCATTGACTTGACTTGGACAAAAACTACGATGAAACCTTTTGGAAAGCATCTTTTGCAGCGATTTTTTGTGTAAAATACCGAGCTTGTCCTTTAAGTCTAAAAGTAGCTCCTAACTTACCGGTTTAGGAGACACTCTTAAAAATAATGGACTTGTCAGTCCTAATTTTATGACTCCTAAATGTTTGTTCTAAGAGTATTTCACAAAGCATTTTAGTGCTAAAACCAGCTCATATATCTGTAAAAAGTTAGGGGTAGTTTAGTTAAGAGGACTCCTAAGTTCCTAAATCACAAACAATCCTAAAATGGCTGTTGCTGTCAATCCGCCTTAGCAAACTGCCCAAATACACTGAACACCATTGAGGCAATAGGCTATAGGCCTTGTGTGCTGAGCCTTTTCTTCTTCATAATAATAATATTAATAATGCATTTTATTTATAATGCGCTTTTCTTAAGCCGGGGACACACTTAATGACTGTAAGGGCCGATTATGAATGTAATTTGATACTTACGAGTTACGAGTACGACTGATCATGCCAAAACGTGCCAGAGACAGATGCGTTCAGTCAGTGTTAACAGTCAGTGTTTATAACAGTCAGTGTTTAAAATCTGCTGCAGTCGTTGGAAACGGCCTGTAAGTGTGTTCAGTTCAGTCTTACAATGTTTCAGCTAGTTGTTAAGTGTGTCTTTAAACCCAAAGCACTACAGTGAAATAAAACAAAAAGCAACAATAAGAACAATATAAAAGTGAATTAAAAACAATCTTAAATAAGTGTGTCTTAACCAACTTTTTAAAGTGTCCCAACGTTGATGCATTTCTGATGGTGAGAGGAAGCTCATTCCTTTAAATGAAAAAGCTCTTTCCCCCACGGTCTTAAGATAAAGGGATGGTTCGGAGTAAATTCAACCTAGGGTCCTTTGCACCATGACCTCGAGCCAAACAAAATGACACCAAGATTACGCACCATTCTAGAATCAACAACCAAACTAATCGGCCTTGCGAGTAGCCGCCACTGTACCGCTAAGCTTCAGTTCAGTTTTGGAGCTGTTCAATTCCAGGAAGTTATTCTGCATCCAGATTCTAATCTCTTCTAGATTAAATGCATTAAACTTTTGATTTTAATCTGCCCTGACATAACATAAATGTTCATTTATGTACAGACAATATGCATTGAATGATGAAGAATAAAACATCAAGTTTGGTCCGATAGCCTTGGGGGCAGCTCTGGTGACCCGAGTTCAAGTTTCCCAATCCCATCCCCCCTTTCTCTCTTTCACTTTGCTTCCTGTCTACTCACTGTCCTATCATAATAAAAAGGCAAAAACGCCAAAAAATAAATCTTTAATAAATAAATAAGAAAATAATGTCATATTACCTGTGGCAGTTGTTTCACGAGTTAAGAATGATTGAACAGTAAAAGAATAAAATAAGCATATTTGGCGTCCTCTCTGATGGGATCGAGGACTCCGAGGACCCAAACCCAGAGTTCTCCCCAGTTTCCCCGGCTGGGAATAGGAATTATAAGTGGAAAAATCAAATGTTCTGTGAATACGGCCCCAGATTATCAAACTACTACACGGCCCAGAAGACCTCGAATAGCTAATGTTAGGGAAATTGATTCATCCCAATGATGCATATCTTTTGAATATGTTCCCTGAAATGATTTGTTCATGTTTACTGACTGATTCATTCATTGAGTCTCGCTGTAATATACGTCATTACATAAGTATGTGGAAAAGCTAGGAGTTGGGTATTTTGTTTCAGCTTAGTGACACAAATCTTTTAAATCTGTCCACCAAACAGATTTCCTCTCATCAGCAAGTGGCGACCAGTGAGCGAGAGAAATGATAATACCGATGACCAACACACCGCATCAGCACCGAGTTAAAACAGATTTAAAAACGGTTGATCAACATGAAACGAGAGTTAAGTGAACAAAAGACCACCATGCAAATGTTATATTACAGAGGATTTCACCTTAGGGATCTCAGACTTGTAATATAATAAGATGTTGAAAAAAAGTCTAAAATTGACTTGATTAATATGGATGAAAAAAACTGAACACAGAATCGATTCCGAAAGTAATGGAATCAGCTGACCCAATTAAGCTGTACTTTCAGCATAAATGTTCAGCATTTATTGTCTGTTACTAATACCAAATAGGTTTAAAAGGTATATTTAAAATGTAATTCATTAGACCAAGTTGTAATACGGAAAGAATCATGAAAAAGTAAAACTTGCATAAATAGTCTTCATAAAATCAACAAGTTTTAGTTTACTATCTCTCATAATGTGCACAAATAATCAGCAAACATTCTGAAGAAAAATACCTTTGATTTGTTTTGACAATCTTTCATCAAAGTACTAAATTGGTATGCTTCAGAATTTTTATGTAACCATGACTATGCGGGCAGAGGAAAAGTAATGTCGACCCAATAAAATCAAGGCTACTTTATTTAATCAAATCAAGGTTGGATAAAATCGAGTCCCACTGTAATGGTGGCTGTTTTAGTAATAACAGCATGTTGGATCCAAATGCAGCAGATGGTTTATTAAAACATGATAACAGAAGTAAATCCAGGCCGGAACAAGATAAATCAAAACAACAGGAACTAAAACAAACACAGTACATCCACAGAAGGACAACACCTGTGGCCTGTAGCATGAAGCCGGTTTCAGTTGCTTCCCTGGTAAGTTTGAGATTAGTTTGAGCAAACTTTGGTTTTACGGGCTCAAGAAGGTGGATTGTTTTTTAGCGGGTTTAATCACTATGGTAACTTGCGCTACATGGCTAACCTATTCCGGAGCAGCTTTTATTCTGGGTTTGAGACCAGTACAGTACATTGACCTGGACCTTCAGTGTACAGTGACATGTATCTGATGTAATAAAGCCACTCCCCCCGTATCTCTCGCAGTTTAGAGTGAAAGAATTTTAGAGACAGATTTGCCCATGTGAATTGGCTGTTTGCTGCACATGTCACACGTTTAGGTCCTCACAGTTATTTAAACCAGGTTGAATTTATATGGATTTGGCAACTCCAAACCTACTCTGAAATTCACAGTTTGTTCAACTTGCTTCATGCAAAAGACAAAGAACACGAGAAACACTGGGTAGTGTTTCTACACAAGATAGCAAGGGGCTGATGAGGGAAACAAGACTGAGCCTGGGTTCTCCCACGTTTTTTTTTCTCCATTCTGTCACCTCATGGAGTTTGGGTTCCTTGGCACTCTCGCCTCTTGCTTACTTAGTTGGGGACACATACTTATAAAATATAATAATATAATAACTAATCAATAATATAATAACTAATCAACAAGAAAAACTACAAAGGACTGATAAAAGTCCACACAAGACATGGAAACACAAGCTGGGATCGTGACATGAATGGATAGCCTTGTCCATTTAAATGCTTGATCCTCTTGGTCTGTGGCCTGTCCTCTAGTAGAATATAAAACCTCTGCCTCTTTAAAATGAGTGTCCACTCTTATAGAGAAGTCTCTCAGTTGATCATCTGAGTTTGCTTCAGTGTGTACTTAGGCTGAGTGTTCTTCAGTGAAGTGCACTTGGATGGATTTGGGATGTGGAGCTCACTGTGTGTGTGTGTGTGTGTGTGTGTTTGTCAGGTATATCCACTATGTGTTTGACCTTGGAAACGGACCGAGTCTTCTGAAGGGAAACAGCGACAGTCCTCTTAACGACAACCAGTGGCACAATGTGGTGATCACTCGAGACGCCAGCAACACACACACGTTAAAGGTGGACGCCAAGTCTGTCAGCCAGGTGGTCAACGGAGCCAAAAATCTGGACCTGAAAGGTCAGCTTGACCTTTTTATGACATTTCTGATTGTACGTTTGACATTTTAAATATCAAAACACGTATTGGAGTTGTCTTGTTCCACTCGTTTGCAGGTGATCTGTTTGTGGCCGGTCTGGGGCCCAACATGTACCAGATCCTGCCGAAGCTGGTGGTGTCTCGCGAGGGTTTCCAGGGCTGCTTAGCGTCCATGGATCTCAACGGCCGTCTGCCAGACCTCATCAATGACGCTCTGTTCCGCAGCGGGCAGATCGAACGGGGCTGTGAAGGTATATGTGACTCATCACACCTCATTCAATTCAAAACCATTCAATTCAAACCTGATTTAACCTCTACACATGTCGTTTTTGTCTTTCTAAATCGTATATATTAATCAGATGTTTGCAATGTATTGGTGTTTAATTGAACTCTTGTTTTGCTGATATGCTGAGAGCCTCTGTAACCACCAGATGGCGCCTTAACCAAAGGCCTGTTAACAGTAGTTACCAGTAATGTATGATGTATCCACAATCTTTTTATTACAGATTTGAATGAGGTACATTTGTTTAACTGTAGAAAATAATTTTAATTACCTCATCATTATCCCTGCCTTACTAAAATCAGTACCCATGTTACTCTCTCTTTATCCTTCATACATTTTTCCTCTC